AATTGCAGCTATAAATTTTTATCTTAGTCAAAGAAGGGAGGTTACAGGGCTCAGCATGGGTAATTTAGCAGCATAGGAGAGTGTTTGGCATGCCAGTTACAACCCCACAGTTTGTACAGACTTGTCTCAAACTGTCACCAGTTCAAAGACACAAACAAGAATTGATTGCTGTGACTAATTCTTTTTCCCCTCTTCTGCCATCTGGTTCATTTTCCTGCAAGGTGAGTTGTAATAAGCATGTTACAAGGGCGGCAATGATTACTCAGTCAGGGCCCATAAACTACACTGCTGTCATCCTCAGTCACAATTTAAGGAACCCTTAAAGCCATCATATACACACACTCTGATATTAACTGTACAGTGTGATACACAGTAAACCTCTTTAGAGAATCATAAGGAGCTCTCAGCAAAAAATAAGAAGTGCTCTTTTGTGCTCTCACTGTGGATGTTTGATTTTTGTGTGTATTGCCAAGAAGATACCTGCATACCTAGCCTACTGGTAATCTTTGTTCCCAAGACTTGGTTAATGTAGCGAAAGAAAGAAACAAGTTGGAGGGGAAAAAAAGTTTCTTAAAAATATTTTTAAATTCATTAATACTTTTTTTTTTGGTTCACCTAGCATTAGGAGTCTTTGTATAAATGTGGACATGGGGTGACATATATGCCATCACAATATTATGGTTTCAATATTAAAGAACCTGTTTAAAAACAGATGTAGAGCTACAAACCTGTGTCTTGGACTGATGGTGTACAACCAGAATTTAGTGAGAAACGGGATCCAGGTCTGTGGTAAATCATTGAATCTGCATAGTAATAGAGCATGAGAGCTAAGTAGAAATGAGTGATGTAAAGTGCAAGGAAAGACAGCACTGGGTTAGTGAACTGGACGTGTGTGTGTGTGTGTGTGTGTGTGTGTGTGTGTGTGTGTGTGTGTGTGTGTGTGTGTGGTTGTGTGTCTGTGTGTTTGCAAGAGAGATAGTGTAAGGAGCTATGACTGGGGACCCAAGTCTATGAGTGATTTCAGAGGGTTTCTCAAAGGTTTCCTTCTCCTGGCTATTAAAACTCAGGTAATGGAGAAAAGTCCAAGAGCAGGCCGCATACTGCAGCAATAAATAAAAAGGAGCTGCTGGAATTAATTTAGTGTTGAGCCAGGCAGAGTCAAGCCTGCATGCTCTGTCTGGGCAATGAAAGATTAAAGATCAGCAAGCAAATGTAAAAACTGTGACTGCTCTTACCTCATCTTTTTAGCATTAATTTTTAAAGTTAGCCTGCCAGTACTGAATAGACATCTGTTCTGGGGTTGGTGTCATAGGATATGTGATCCAAGCAGAGAAGTTGATTTTTTTTATTATTATTCAGTGAACAAGAGTGATGGATTTGATTTACAGTAATGTGTGCTTGGGGACTCTGAAGTTATTCAGTAACGATAGAATAACTTGAATTTTCTGTGAAACTCATGGCTTCTATAGAAGGGCTGATTTACAGCAGGCCATCAAAGTTCACCAACTCAAATTGGACAACGTGTACATTCATTGTCTGGCAGTGTTACAGCTTTCTTCTTTCCCAGCTCAAAACAAGGATAGTTATAGGCCCATTAAAACATAGCAGCACATTGTCCTCCATGCAGTATCATACTAAAACAAACTACTTCCTTTGGAAAAAGCTGTGATGACTAACTCAAAATGGTAAAATAATGATGTACATTAAGTGAATGACTTGGAGATAAAGTAATTGCTAAAAACTGAACTCTAATTCATACTGTAAGCACCAAGTATGTTTACCATAATATTAAATGTATGAATACAATCATCCAAATAGTTTTCTGTAGTGTTTTACAGTTTCTTTCTGCTTGTTCTTGTGTTCCCTGATTTCTAGTAGGTGGAGAGATCCCTATGGACGTGCGGCTGGGCAGTGGGCAGTTGGTGTCTGAAGAATTGATGACCCTGGGAGAAAGTCTGTCCCAAACCAGCGATCCCTCCCTCAAGCTCTTTCAGTGCGCTGTGTGCAACCGCTTCACCACTGACAACCTGGATGTGCTTGGCATGCATATGGGAGCTGAACGCAGCTTACCAGAGGAGGAATGGCGTGCCGTGGTGGGTGACTCTCACCAGTGCAAGTTGTGCCACTACACCACTCAGCTCAAGGCCAACTTCCAGCTGCACTGCAAGACAGACAAGCATGTGCAAAAGTACCAGCTTGTAGCCCACATCAAAGAAGGTGGCAAAGGCAATGAATGGCGCCTGAAATGTGTGGCTATAGGCAATCCAGTGCACCTGAAGTGCAATGCCTGCGACTACTACACCAACAGCCTGGAGAAGCTGAGGATGCACACTGTCAATTCCCGCCATGAGGCTAGTCTCAAACTCTACAAGGTTAGTGGTACTCAGGCTCCTTTATCATGCCCACCATTAAACCTTGTCTTGACAGTGTTTGCCATTTTCATGTCATTACTGAATATATGTACATAACTGTTAGGAAAGAGCATGCTCGTGGAGAGGATGTCACTAGTTGAGATATTTAAAGCCAAAAATTGAACATTTAAATGCAGCACAGTTGCCAGCCTTCAGTGGATTAATGCGGTCTATAATATTACACTGTTGCGTTATAATATGACCAGGTAGAAAGCAATATATCTGTGTTATATTTGGGAGTGTTTATGATCCAATTCAACTTGGAGATTGACACAAATGGCAAAATGTGTCCTTAATCCTCTCCCTGCTAACTTGATATTCCTCCGCAGTAAATGCACTGCTTCTGCTCACACCCCTATACTAGCTGCTCTTTCAAAGCATGAATGATAGCTTTGTTGTGTTACTCATGCCCTCCAAGCTTCATATAGAAGCAGAGGCCACACTGCTGCCATGAGAAGAACATGGCAGGTGCAGCTGGTTTGGAGGCTCAGGGGTGAATCACTTGGAGACGAATGAAGGAGTGCAAGGAGACAGAGGTTTGGTGCTAATACTCCTTGGAGCGGGAAAGGCTGAATCGTTCTCGACAGCCGTATTGATTTTTGCTGGACTTGGAGCTTCACCTTCTCCTCTAATCATTCCATAATAGCCAATGGATGAACACTCTCCGAACAAATGGCCATAAATCTAACAGGCCTGATTCCACTTAGGTACCTATCCTGTGTGTCTGCGGATTCGGCCACTCTGTGCTTAACCCAAACTGGCATAACTGTGCTTGCACACACATTCAACACACAACAAAGCACATGCAAACACAGACAACATAACAAACATACTGTATTAAACTATAATTTGCACTGTCTTCCAGTACTGTAGGTGCTGTTTTTATTTATAAGTCCACTCCATTCGAGTGTTTGACTCTTTTAAAAAATTACAGGGAAAACAATCAGTTCTATTTCTTGACACTTGCGTACTGGTATTTTAGTATATTATAGTGCAGCTTATTTTGGAAGAAGATATTAAAAGGCATGTGAAAAATGCAGTGCTTCAAGCATGGTATTTTTAATCACATTAAAACTAAGCTGAAGTGGTTCATTTAAACCCCCTCAAAAGGCTGTCCATTTGAAAATCATCCAGCATTATGAATGATTGCTCAAAACCACTGGCATGGCAGACATGTTTCCTGTCCACAAGGCATTTGTACTGAAATAACAGTAAAAGAGAGAAATCAATTTTGAGTGTTTTGTTAGGTGTGATGCAGGGTGCCTGGTGTAGCCATTAAAGAGGGCCAGGGGACACAGGAGGTGGAGGAGGGGGGATATCTAGTTTGGCTTGTCAGAGTATGGTTTGAAGCAGGACAGCAGAGAGGATCACAGGGACAGTTTCTAATGGACGGAGTATTTATAGATATATGGAGCATTATCTATGAACGGTTTCAGTCAGTTGTGAGACAGCAGAAAATCATAACAAGATATCCTTGTTTGCCCAGCCATGGTCATCCTCTCCTGGCCTTAACTGCTGAACTTACTAGCCCACAATCCGGTGACAGTCTCACATTATACCAAAATAGACAGCCTTTGGCATACTCTCTTTACCTTTTGGAGGGAGAGACTTGTTTTGTCTCACAGGATAGGGTACAGTTTATATTTTATTATCTATGTGCACTTTGCTGGAAGCGTGAAATGTAAAAGAGAAACATTTTTTTTCTCCTGTCTTTTTTTTTCTCTCTCAAGTTTTTAAGAGAGAACAGACATATGTCATACTGCTGCTCAGGCTGTGGGGGATTAAATATGTACAACACATCCAGACATGATCATTTTTTATGACTTAAGCCTCTTAAGATGGCTCCATGTTTCTTAAAACCAATTGATCTTCCAAGTAAGAGTATCTGCATTTGTCCAGAAATGACCTGCGCGCTCAGCCCAAGAACACTGCTCATACTCTCCTCATCCCAGATACCACACAAAAACTCAGATATTCCAAAATTGACAAGAATTATTATGATTTTGAAATTATTGATTAGTGGACAACAAGTACATGGTTGTGAAGCTTGTTGGTAGCACTGGCTCCACACCAGGAGTTACTATCCTGGTAGAGATACTGACAGAAACTCAGTAACCTACAAGCCCATAAACCCAATGTGGTATGATATGCCAGGACAAAAAAGGGAAAATCACCATTCATTTATTCCTCCCCCAAAAATGTGATGCAAATAGCACCATTTTAACCTTTTATTGGGGGGGGGGATAAATCATCAAGTCAGCATAAACAGGCTGTAAGATGTGGGAGATGCTTGGGACACTTCACCCAAATCAAACTGGTTTGCATTAAACAGGCCTTTTGTGTGCACAGCTCCATATAAATTGGAGCCTGTAATTACTGGAATTAAAAAGGAAGGTTTAAACTGAGGGCTAAGCTGGATGGGATAATTTGAGAGTCTGTGGTATGCGGCCCATATTAGGGTTTTCTAAAAATATCCACCCACCCCCCACCCCATGTATTGGAATGTTCCAAAAGACCGCAGAAAGATCCAGCGAGTCATCTTGGCCACATGAACCTCCACACAGCAGAGGGTGATGCTATCCTCCCCTGCATACTGTGTTCTCAGTTGAGCGATACCCATTCTAAGTGCAAGTATAACCCTGTGCTCTGAAGCAAATTTCCACCTTCTCTTTTTCCCATGGAGCATAGGGTTTGCAGTTTCTCTAACGACTGCATGATGGTCACCCATCTTTTCTTAGAATGGTCACTCCTAAACACAAACATATGGGTTCTATTCTAGTGCAAACAACCCAAAACCGTTTGTGTATGTTTTTAGAATATCTAGCTCTCCCTCTTCATCTTGAACAAACCCCAGCCCCAATTCTCATTTTACATTTAGCCACATATAGATAATATGTGAATATAATAGCCCTTATACCACTAGTAGTAGGCCTCAGGGCTCATCTATGTGTTAGTGTGGAGGTGAGATGAGTGGAGCTAATACAGCTCTCAGGCCCTGCTGCTCTGGCCAGACAGAATGGGTGGGGACTAACCAGGCCCAGCCACAGGCTTCAGCTTCCAGTCAAGGGTTGGGGGAAAGGGGAGGAGCATGGGGGGGTTAGCTGGCTACCTTCCTTGTCTCGGGGGCCGGTGCAATCGGCGGTAATTGAGATTGATTGGATGTTATTTTTCCTCTTGCAAATGTAGTCCATTAGCTTGGCACATGCATAATCAGTTTAGAGCGCAGTTAGCCGAATGTAATCATGTTCCTCGGTGTCTGCTAGCACAAAATCCACTCCAGATGCCGCTTGGCCACGGAAAGAAAGGGAGAAAGTGCCGTCACAATCAGATGGGGAATCTTTAACTGAGAAAGTCCTGTCACCCCTCCCTCGTGTCCTGGTCATGCACTGCTGGGCACATAGCTGTACAAACTTTGCACCTATCTCTCCTGGCTGCCTTATACACACAGTCACATCTATTGTCTCTTCCTCACCTATGAAAGCAGGGGGTTGATCACATGTTCTTCATAGTGTTCAGTGAGATCCCTTAACAGTCAAAACGCATCTGTATCTTGAATGGAGTTAGTGCTCCTATTTTACCCTTCAGTGCAATCCAAAAGATTTTGTTAACACAGGAAAAGAAAATGTCTACACTCTGTAGAGAGCAAATAATCACAATGAAACATAATGGAGCAAAGAGGCTCTAATGTAAATGAAGGGATTAGTGGTTACATGAAAAGTATTAAGGTGTTTTACTAATGATCTTACTCAGCAGAAGCACTGGCTTAGACTCAGGAATGCAAGCCATGATGACCTCTTCGCATTACAGATCATAACTACCTAGGATTGACTTTAATCCTCTCGGACTATAGAATAATATGTAGTTGGGGTGCAACCACAGATGTTGTATCCTAGTTATAGAAATATGTTAGTTTTGTAATCAAATAAAGTGAAGGAGGATCAGTCCTGCTGACTTTGGTGGCTAACCTTGGCATCCCAGGTGAGTTTTCACATTTTGCACATCAACAGAATTATTATGGAAACTTGTTGCACTTTACTACTGTGACAGGGCTGGTATGTCCATATTTACCTCCCTTCCTAAGAACCTGAACTTTTCTGGGATGTTTCAGTCATACCAGATATGTTTTTGGTGGCCTTATAGTGTGGGAAGATGAATGAGCCCAAATTGTCTCTCTGGCCAACATCAAGACAAAGATTACAGAAGGTAATGTGAGATGTCCTCTGGCGAAATGACATCTAGCAGAGCCTGGACTTACCAACTCACCCAGCAGACATTTCTAAGAAGAGAAGGGCAGGAGGATGGAGAGACAGACAAGAGCAAGGGGATGGGGGTGCGACAGGAGAGTTGGAAGGATAGATACTCTGCTAATTATCATGGCTAGCCTATGATTGTTCAGTAATAGTGCTCAGTGGGAAAGGTTGCAGCAGTTCCAGGAAGAGCTGAGCTCTGATTTACTGGTACTACCGCTCTAATAAAGCGCTCACTGCACATCCTGGGAGACAGCCCATTCTCCCCTTTCACATGCATAAGCGTGTGAATGCACACACAAACACACACATACACACCCAGAGAGCAATCTTTTAATCTAAAGTGCCAGCATATGACAACATAGGGCTTGTGAAATGTATTATTTTAATTGCTCAAAGAAAAGTTCTTATAAAAGTTAATATGATTCTGTGATGAACATGTGATCAGAGGCATTACTACAGCGAGGAAGTATTTAAATTCTCTTTGGGGCCCTCTAACACGTTCTCCGTCAACACAGTCATGATCCTAAACCCCAGTTACCCTCTTTGTGTCGGTAGCTGCCTGCACTCCATCGTTCAGCATCAAACAGATCAGAGTTACAGAGTGGTGAATGGAACAACTAAGGAATGGCAGAAAATCAGGATGGATTGGAGAGCTAGGTGATCAACCAAGTAAGGGGGACTAGTAAGACTTGGCATTTGGCAATGTGTAAT